ACTCGACTGCGTATAAGACAGCTTCAACAAAAAGAATGGCTACACATCTCCCCACTTCACAACTGGCCTTATTTAACTTATCCCAGGTCAAATGACTGGATTGCAAATATTTTATGTAAATGGAAACGTATTGGTTTTTCTATGCAAACTCTAGCATCGGAATCTTATCTTGTCAAAGGGGAAGCAACACCAATTCACTCTTTGATTCCATCTCAGTATAAAGCCATCGCTAATGATCTCAGAAATAACTCTGTACTTTTTGTCGAACAACTGGTTACTTCTAATGGAAACTCCATGCTAACATATTATGACCTCAATACTCAACCTGGATTTCCGTCTACGTGGCGTATTCCTAGATGGTTCAATATCCTTTCAAGAAAACATGCTCGTCAATCCTGGTAATAGAACAACAATATGCAATTACCCACATCCAAATCATATTGCATTTGACTTCTCACCACCGACAAAACGTGCTGGTATTATTTTCTTTGTATTAGGATGGAATTTTGGACACAACAAACCCTTCGTTGGAAGATTACTTAAAACAGAGGAGCGTTATGCGCATATAATGCATGTCAATCTAAAGAGTAGACATGATCATAAAACCCTACTTGTTGACTGTCCTCGATGTGTTCTACATGATCCACAAACTTATATTCCATACCAAACGACTGATAAAGATCACAAATGTTTCTTCATTGTCCTTATTAACCTTTGCTTTCATATTCCAACACATCACAATACTACCGAATCCTCATACGGATGCTCTTGGTCTATCAATCTACTTAATGAACTCGTATCCGCTTTTATTAAACTCCGTACAAATTCGTCTTCTGATCTTCCTGCACGATCCTTCATCACACCTGTTCCCCCTTCTTTTATAGAAAAATTTATTCCTTCTTCACATTCACAAACTTTACTAAATTTTCGCTCTCAATTCAGTTCTTGCACTTCCTTAGAATTCTATACAGATGGATCCCTAATTAATCTTGGTTTGCCTTCTATTAGAATGGGTATTGCCTGGCTCCAAACTGCACCAGTAGCTCCACAACTTTCATATTCTACGGCCTTCACAGCTTCATTTCCATCATCCTTCACAGCTGAATTAGCTGCTATATTTACAGCCATCCTTGTTGCTCCAAGCAGATGTCACGTCACTTTTTTCACTGATTCTTATATTGTTATTTCGCAATTCAACAAGTATCAACTCCTATCAAACATATCTCTGTCTGAAAGACCACTTCTCAAAATTGTTAATGTTCATATTTGGCAATGTTTGTTTCAAATAATCAACGAGTTATCGCTCAAGGTCAAAATGAATAAAGTCAAGGCCCACTCAGAAGATCCCTTTAATGATGCCGTTGACTTACTGGCAAAAAACTCATTGAATACCTCCGCTCTGAATCTCATAATTAATGATCAACAGCATTACACTTTATATTACAATAACATGGCGATTGCTTTACCTATCAGGCGATTTATCAAAGAAATCACACGCGCAGCAGACTTCTCAGCATTCTTGAATCTCAACATTATCCAAAAATATCTTGATGAGGATATCGATTGGATAACTACCATATTTTGCATTAAAGACAATACTGCTTCTAACGCTACCAATTACGAAGCATCGGCCTTAACAAAAAAGAAACTACAAAGAATTCTCGAAATGTTCCCAACAATGGAAACTCTCAAAAAACGACATCCACTCATTTTTGATAATACTCAAAATTGCATTCGCTGTGATACTGATGTTGAAACCTTCGCACACATATGGACTTGCCTCTTAGTACTTTACAAAACTCAATTGATTATTAACAACGCCAAAGTATTGCTTGGTGACATCACTCAATCTGATCCCTCGGACAGACGAATCAACCAACTTAACATTTGGTCGTTGTCTTTAACGTCAACCTTCTCATTCATTGACTTGATCAAAGGTTTCATCCCGTCTGCTCTAGTTAACTTAGTCTCGTCATCTCTGACCACTAAAGATACTACTAATGCAGCTCTATCTAATTTTATGCACTTTATTTTTGAACAATCACAAAAGATATGGCTTGACCGGTGTTCAATGCTTAAGGAATTTGAATCGAACAACAGTATAACAAACGCGTTGAAAAAATCTCATACTCACAATTCAGGATACAGGTACTTGTCTACCAATCTCACGGTCGACGCTTCAGCGTTAATCAATAATATGGTTCGACAGGGAACTCAATGGATAAATTTTTGGTGCAGTAGGG